TGACATGTAGTTAGCTAATTATAATATAAAGTTGTGGAAGATATGAAAGAAATTGGTGTGTTTGAAATACGGCTTGGCTGGCTATCATATAGAATAATGGGCATAGTAGCCAGAGGGAATTTAGAAAGGTGGCCGGGAAACAGATTGTTCAGAGCCTTGAATGCCAAGCTAAGGTGTTATTCTATAAAATAGTGGGGGACAAACAACAAGTATTTTGTTTATATAGTTTATGAAGTTTTTTTTGAGTCATAGCTTATGTAAATTTCAAAAGAACTCTGAAAAGTAGGTATAATTATTCCATTTTACAAATGAGGAAGCTGATTTGGGGGAACATGCATTCATTCTATATTATTGAGCACCTGCTAAGTCCCAGGCACTATGCTGAGCTATGGGAATACAAAGAAGTAATAGTCTAATTAAAAGACAAAAATAGGGGCGCCTGGGTGGCTCAGTCATTAAGCGTCCACCTTTGGCTCAGGTCGTGATCCTAGGGTCCTGGGATCGAGCCCCATGTCGGGCTCCCTGCTCCGCAGGAAGCCTGCTTCTCCCTCTCCTGCTCCCCCTGCTTGTGTTCCCTCTCTCGCTGTGTCTCTCTGTCAAATAAATAAATAAAATCTTTAAAAAAAATAAAGACAAAAATAAATTAGCAATTATAATAAGTTTCTGTGATAAAAATGCTTTGGGAGTAAAAAGAGGATTTGTCTGAACCTACATAATTCGTCTTCCTGGAAGAGGTGAACTTGAGCTGAGTTTGAAGGAACAAATAGGTTACGTGAATTGCTCAGAAATACTCAACTAGCAAGCAATTTAGCTAGAACTTGACCCAAATTTGCAGTGTCCAATTCTATGCCCTTTCCTCTACCCTAAGGACCCATTTTTGGTTCTTGATGTTGAGCTCCACTGACATTCTTTTTTATTTTTTTAAGATTTTATTTTTAAGTAATCTCTACACCCAATGTGGGGCTCAAACTCACAGCCCCAAGATAAAGAGCCGCACGCTCCACCAACTGAGCCAGCCAGGCACCCCCTCCATTGACATTCTCAGTCACAAATCTACCTGTTGTATTTTGAAAACATTGGAGATCCCAGTTTTTCCTTTTTAAACCCATTCATTTCCTCCTTTTAGAATGAATCTTTGGGTGTATCTGAAAGGTTGTTGACTAGGCTCAGCAAAACTGTAAAGTGTTACCTACCTAGTGGAATTAACTTCGTTAAAGTAACATTATGTGAGAGGTTCTTCTTCTCTGCTTTCTTCCATTTGGGGGCACCATAATTTAGTTGCACTCACCAAATACAGATACGGTTTTACAATAATAACTTGGTGTGTTTTTCCCCTGAACTCAGAGTTTGATAAAAGTGAACAAAGTTTTCTTCACTTGGTTTTCAGGAAACCATTGCTCCTTCTCGTCTCCTTGGCTGGTTTCTTCTCATTTCTCTGACCTCTCGACTTTGAAGCGGTCTGTTCTCTATCAATATTCATTCCCTGGTTGGCTTTATCCAGCTTCATAACTTTAAATAACCTGTCTGTCTCTCAACAGCCCTCAAGTTTTTATCTCCAGCCCTAACGTCTCCTGACCTCCAGACTCCTATCTATCTTGACATCCCCACTGGTATTTCTCATAGACATCTCAAATTTAATATGCCCCAAACCAAACTTCTTTTTTTTAATTAATTAATTTATTTATTTGAGAGAGCAAGAATGAGAGAGAGAGAAAGAGAGAGAGCACATGAGAGGGGGAAGGATCAGAGGGAGAAGCAGACTCCCCGCTGAGCAGGGAGCCCGATGTGGGACTCGATCCCGGGACTCCAGGAGCATGACCTGAGCTGAAGGCAGTCGCTTAACTGACTGAGCCACCCAGGCGCCCCCAAACCAAACTTCTGATCTTCCAAGCTTGTTCCCTGTCTCAGTAAGGACACATTCTTGCTTCTGGTTTCTCAGGCCACGAACCTTGGAGTCATGGCACCCCTCTGTCTCTCAGACTTCACATCATATAATCAGCTCGCCTTTAATGCAGGGTGGCCACCAATGAGGGTTGGTAGGTGATAAATGGTTTATTGATGCCACATTCTAATTCATGATAAAATAATAACACTTATGTTTCCAGACTTTATGGTTACCCCGTATATTCAGAATTCAGTCACTTCCCAACACCTCCAGTTGCCGCCACCTGTCCTAAGGTGCAACCTTCTCTTGCCAGGACTATTGCAGTAGCCTTCTAACCGGTCTCCCTGCTTCTGCGTTTGCTCCCTTACAATTTAATCTCAACACAACAATCAGAGCTATTCTTCTAAGACCTAAAACCCAAATTAGATCACGTTCAAAATCTTCCATTGGCTCCCATCTTCCTCAGAATGAAATCAAAGACCTTGCCATGGCCAACAAGGCCCTATGTGTTCCAGCCCCTGCTCCCTCACTGACCTCCATCATAACTCCTCTCCTCCTCACTCATTGCATCAAGCTTGCTCCCACCATAAGGCTTTACACTTGCTAGTCCCTATACCTGCAAACTATTTCCCCAGAGAGCCATCAAGCTGGTTGCCTCACTTTGTTCTGGACTTAGCTTAAATGTTCTTTGACCTCCCAATGAAATCACAACCCCCCACCTCCTACACTTCCTCTAACTCTTGCCCCATCTTATGATTCTCTGTAGTAGTACAACCATCTGACATACGTAATTATTTCTCTCTCTGCCAGAAGATAAGATCCAGGAGGGCAAGGACTATGTTTTGTTCACTGCTATATTCCCAGCACTTAGAGCAGGCCTAACACAGACTAGGTATTCAAACATTTAATGAATGAATGAAACGAGAATGTCTGAATCTGTACTATTGAATGAAAAGTACACATTTTACCATAAAGGTAAATTAAACATAATTAGGTACAAGAGATTCTGATATTAACAATGACCCCTCGGGGCTCCTGGGTGGCTCAGTCGTTGGGCGTCTGCCTTCGGCTTGGGTCATGATCCCAAGGTCCTGGGATCGAGCCCCACATCGGGCTCCCTGCTCTGCAGGGGGCCTGCTTCTCCCTCTCCCCCTCCCTCTGCTTGTGTTCCCTCTCTCACTGTGTCTCTCTCTGTCAAATAAATAAATAAAATCTTTAAAAAACAAAACAAAACAAAACAAAAATGATGACCCCTCTAAAGGAATTGCTGAAAAATTGTAAATGAGTATGGTTTTAAAGAAAATTCTCCATTATGAGTAAGTCCACATTTCACAGATTCTTGAATCCTCACAATTTTGCTGATATTTTCTGCGTATCCCATGATTGCGAGGACTGAAATGATGGCATTCTCACGTTAGAGTCTTTATTCTTAGATTCTGCCTTTGCACTTGTTCAATTACAGAGCATCCATGAAATAAGCCACTAGAGTGGCCTTGCTCCCCTGTCAGTATGCTCTATAACACGTCTGTTGATCATTATTTGCTGCTTCTGAAATAACTTCTCTTTGAGATTTTCCTGTTCTGCCCCACACTTGTAAGGGGAGGGGTTCTGTTCTGCTCCCTAGGGGGATAGTACCCTGTGGAAAAGTAGCCTCCTCATTGGGGTGCAAGCTGAAAACTCCATGATACTTTCTACAGAACACTACTTATCTTTTCTCCTTTCTTCACACTCTCCAGCCGTGCGAGTTCAGGGCCTTACTGTTCAACCACTTCAATACCACTGACTTGGGATTAGGAGTGTGGCCAGAGGACTTCAGTGTCTGACATCTAGCTATGAAGCTGCTGGCCATAATTATGGGATCCAAGAACGTCCTTAGACCATGAAGACTGAAGAACACTGAGGGCCACATTAAGATGTTTATTGTTTAAAATCAGGGACACGCTGTTACCGTTAAAATTCTATCTTTATAATATGTGGAAATAGTGAGGACCCTGTTCAGACACAACTCGGATTTAAGAAAATTGAACAAACCTGCATTAACAAAAAGAAAAGCCTGTATTAAGGAGTTAGGAGTAGCAAATTCCTTCCTTTAACTCGTTCAATAAATATTTATTGAGCACCTACGACTGTGACCAAAATTCTCTGATGATTCCAAACCAGATTCTTTTCTATTTCAATAAAAGTGGTTCGCAAAAGAGAAATCCTACCCCAAAAAAGGAAATTTTGAACAAGATTTAGGATAAAGGGGTGAAAAGATAAAAAAAAAAAAAGATATCATCTCATAATGTAGAATGAGTTTAAATTTTAGAACTCCAAACTGAGTCTTATATGCTACCCTCCTTCTTAGCCTTCAAGGGATTCATGCTGGGAGCATCCCGTGAGCCAACATTTCCCTCTTTCTCTTGGGCCCAAATTCTGACTGGTGCCACTTAGCAGGTAGCAATGTTTCTTATTTTGTGCAAAAGATGCATCATTGGCAATCCATTTTTAGTAAGGGCAAAGAGAGGGAGAGGCCTTCACAAGTTGCACTTGGTATGGAAACCTAAAGGGGAAGGAGGGTTTTCACAAAATCGAAGGTAAGAACTAAGGAAGTTGGCAGGGACAAAAACCTTAGGTCAGTGAAAAATCTTTAAATCCCAGGAATCCTTTAGCCCAACCAACTCAGGAGAAAGGGAAATCCCCAAGATCTAAAGAACCAGTCTCTGCTCTTGCCTGACTGGCCAAACTGAGGTTAGAAGTCATCCTGGCTCAGAGCTTTTCTTCTTTCGTTTTTTGTTAAGGGTAATGTTATGGATTAAGAGTAAATATTATGGCTGAGTGTACTAAGAAAGCATTTTCTCTGGGATTTTAGCTTGGTGCATGATCCCAGGGTGGTATTAAATAAGTTCTCCGAAGAAGTCCTAATTTTTTCCTCCAGATTCTTGGATGTAATAAGAGAAAATGAGAGTTTTCCTTCAGAGAGGCAGCCTGTTGGTGGATCATCTCCAGGATTCAAAGTTTTCTTATGTGAACAAAATTGTTCAGGGAGGAAATTGTTAAAATTGAAACCAAGCATAAAGAAGCAAAAGTGTTTCAGAGAACCTCCTGCATTTTAGTTCAACTCTGGCAGCAAGAAAACAAAACCACATAATCTAAGGCTCACGCCCAACTCTCTGAAGCCCTGTGTCTGCTAGTTCCTGTGTGGTTTGCCTACAGACTGCAGGGCTGACTGGGGGTAGTTTGGAGGAGGGAGTAAGAAGTAAGGCAGGTGGAGGCACTATTAATGGATCTGTGAACTCGTACCCTGTTTTAGTGAGGTCCTTGGAAGACAGCACAAGGTGGATCTGCACTCTGAAATGCAGTAATTTTGGTGTTTGACTTCATCTTCCTTCTTGGAAGAGAAGATACTATTAACTCGGTGTCAAAGCCAAGACATAGACTCAACCTCTTCTCTTCAAAAAGGTATGTCATTGGACAACATCGGGCCATACACTCTAGAGCTCTTGAACAGTTTTATACTTTGCAGAATGTTCTCTATGAGTCAAATCTAATGAAAATGAATCCCATGGGTTTTCTAAGTATTGCTTTTCATATTTTGGTCCATCCGTGAAGGTCTGTAAATCTTTTGCTGTAACAATGCTTGTGGTGATGGGATTCGACTTCCAGCAAAGGAACTTGTTCCTCATCCAGCCCAGCATACAACATTCCCCACTAATTGGCTTCTGAGCCATCCCAGGGAGAGACATTAGACCCATTACAGAGGTGAAATCCCACCTCTCCATAGTCAGCATTGAAACCCAGTTGAGGATGGGGATGAAGGTTTAGGCAACAATGAATGAACATTGGCACTGTGGGGCCAGGATTGTTCTCTTACTTACATTTCTACCTCTCTTAGTATTTATGGTGCCTTTACAAAGAACACCACTTTGGATTTCTTTACAAAAAGAGAACTTTTTGTTGAAATGGGTTTTGAGAGAGTATTGTCTATCTTTGTCTCTTTATTAATAATTAGTGCCATGTCCCTAAGATGGTGTCAGTTCAGGCATTGAGTCTGAAGACAGCTCCTTTGGGCTCTTTCCCCCACCTACTCCTGAACATGAGGGTTGAGTATACCCACCAAGGGTTTCACTAACTTAAAAATTCTGAATTTATACACCTGGAATGAGGCCTTGTTAATAAGGTATATGTAACTTAATCTGCACCTTACCAAAAATACTCATCCCCAGATAAATTAAGAGGGAAATGTTTAGATCTAAAATTCCAATGGAAAAGATTGCACGTGCTCGTGTTATGTCATCTGAGGGTGGGAAACCTCAGGCTGAAGCATCTTTTGTTCTATACAACTGCATTTATCATAGACTGATAAGTTCCTTAGTGGGGTCCCCTTTTTTTCTTTATTATTTTTGGTTTCAGAAAGAACATTTAGTATAAGTAGACTCTGCTTGAACAACCCAGTATTGGTTATAAAACTCAATATTCATAATATAATTTTAAGGCAAACCTCTTTATAAAAGGATCCACTATTAAATAAAGAGCACTATGTAAATACAGAACCATCTAAGTGCATTTAAATTTCAAGTTTGAGAAATTATGATTTGTATTCTTTTTGAGAACTTTGTTTTTCTGTAAAGAGAGAAGGCCTGTGTCATTGAATAAAACTACCTTTTTGGATTGGACTTGGAGTGTCTCCTGTAGAGTAAACTGTAAGCTTATTTTCCCTAAATTGTAATAGGTTTTATTTTTTTTTAATGACTTTACTGAACAGAGGGGAGGGACGCTATCGATTTGCTCAATATCGATTTGAGTAATATTGCTATTGCTAATACAATATCCTTTGAATATCTTCCACATCTTTTGTCCTGATGAAAATCCCTCTTATTCTTTTATTTCAATTGTTCTTTGTCTACTTCACAGGGATATTATGAGAATAAATGATCTCACACAGATAGGATGTGCCTTAGGAAAAAGGCACTATGAAAATGCAAAATTGTATCATTATTAATAATTTCTTTGAATATTGATCATTTTCTTTCCACTTTTATACAAAATATATCTCACTTACTGGCTGAAGCCATCTCTTTTAGAACCATGGCCTTCTGGAAAAGTGGAAAATGATCCCCAATTCCCACAAGTTTATTGATTCTCAGAGAATAATGCCTGCTGGTGTTGGTGCCTTGTAGCGCTCACACCTAAACTTGAGTGGGACTTGCCTCTTTTCCTGGGCCAAGAAAAATCCACAATTGTTCAAAAGTGTATCATTAAGTGTGATTCCATCAAGAATTCTTAAATAAGTAACAGTTGCTGCTGGATTAGTCCTAGGGCCAGATTCTTTATTTTCATGCTCTCCTAAAACAAATTCAAAATGTGGTCAAGAATCTTTGTGACCTAAGTTATTTGAATCAAAAGATGCAGTTGATTGGCCCCATTTTGTCCATCTCAAATACTTGCTAAAGCATATCTTGATCCACAAAGGAAGAACACAGCCTCATGTGTCCCTTTTCTTTTTTCTTTTTTCTTTCTTTCTTTCTTTCTTTCTTTCTTTCTTTCTTTCTTTCTTTCTTTCTTTCTTTCTTTCTTCTTTCTTTCTTCTTTCTTCCTTTGTCTTTCCTTTCTTTCTCTCTCTCTCTTTCTTTCTTTCTTTCTTGGCTGAGACCTTAAAATTCTCAGGAACAAAATAAATTTAACAAATAAGCATTTATAAACATTTATTGGGCATTTGTTATGTATCGGGCCCTGTATTAAGCACCAGACACTCTTCAACATTACTACTAGGTTTCAATAAGTTTGAGCCAGTAAAAATCCAGTAAGTGATTTTTAAAATTTTCTTTTTAAATACACATTCACAAACATTATAGAGAACTAAAAGAAACTATGAATGAATATGATATGAATAAAAATCTATCTATCTATTACTAAGCACATGAATAAAAATCTCGTATGCTCTCCAAAGAAGATGTAAGACATTCATGAAGAAAGTGAAGAAAATGTCCGAACGAAAAAAAGCTGAAATATTGGTACAATGAATACCTCTATACTCACCTTCTAGGCTCACCAACCGCTATCTTTCTGCCATATTTGTTCCATCTTTGTGTATTTCTTTATGAACTATTTGTAAGTTACAGAAAAAGTGATACTTCACTCCTAAATAATTGGATACACAGCTAAGAATAGGGGCATTCTCCTGTAGAACCACAACACCACCATTATACCTAAGAAGACAGACAGTAATTCCTTACTATGATCTAACATTTAGACCATATCTAAACTTCACCACCTGACCCTCAAAGTCGTCTGTACCTCAAAAAAAAGTAGGATCTAATTTTTTTAAATTTTTTTATCGTTATGTTAATCACCATACATTACATCATTAGTTTTTGATGTAGTGTTCCATGATTCATTGTTTGTGCAATAACACCCAGTGCTCCACGCAGAATGTGCCCTCTTTAATACCCATCACCAGGCTAACCTATCCCCCCACCCCCCTCCCTAAGTAGGATCTAATTTTTATAAAGAAAAGCACATTTTTACATTTGGGCTTTATGTTAGATCATTGGATTTTTTAAAGAGTTAGGTCAGTTAACTTGTAGGATGTCCCATGTCCTACATTTACTGTTGCCTCGTGGTGTCATTTAATTTGTTCCTTTACCCCCTGTATTTCCTGTAAACTCTCAAGTTCGGCCTAAGCATTGATTAGATTTCGACTGAACGTTTTTTTGTAAGGTGCTCCACATTGCATCTCATCAGGAGGCACAAAATGCCAGGTTGTCCTTCTATTTGTGACTCTCAGTTTGATCATGGCTCGAGGTAGTGATCTCACTCCAGGGAGCTCTCATTGTAAAGGTACTTTTTCCGCTTTTGCAATTAACAAGTTCTCCGAGTGGGTGACGCTTTGACACTGTGGTAGTATCTTACTTCCCAACCAATGTCACCTGATGGCTTTAGGTGATAATCCTTGCCAAAATCGACTGTTCCATTCGGGATCGTACACATTTTTTATACCCTTTGAAGGAGGATTAGACATACAAATTCCTCATTTTTAGCAGCAATAGCAAATATTATTGAGTGGATAAATTCAGGCAATAACTCCAACAATAATAAGTAACATTTATTGAGTGCTTGCTGTGGGTTTGAGGCCAATCCTCCAGCTACTACTGGGCCAGATGGGACAAGTTTGTCTTTCTGTGCCTTAGTTTCTTAAGCTACAATATGAGGGTAATAATGGTACCTATCTTACCATATTGTTTTAGAGGCTCAATAGAGTTGACCCTTGAACAACATGGGTTTGTTTGTGCGAATCCACTTACACTCGGATTTTTTTTCTATAAATACAGTGCAGTACTATAAATATATTTTCCTTATGATTTTCTTTTTTTTTAAAGGTTTTATTTGAGAGAGAGAGAGAGAATGTGGGGGAGGGGCAGGAGGAGAGGCAGGCTCCATGCTGAGCAGGGAGCCCAATGTGGGGCTCAATCCCAGGACCCTGGGATCATGACCTGAGCCGAAGGCAGACACTTAACCAACTGAGCCATCCAGGTGCCCCTTTCCTTATGATTTTCTTAGTAACATTTTCTTCTCTCTAGCTTACTTCATTGTAAGAAGACACTGTATAATACATAGAACATGCAAAATTTGTGTTAGTCGAGTGTTCATGTTATTGGTAAGGCTTCTGGTCAACAGTTGTCTACTAGTAGTTAAGTTTGGGGAGAGTCAAAAGTCATACACAGATTTTTGACTGAACGGAAGGTAGGGACGGAGGACAGTGCCCCGACCCGCACCTTATTCAAGGGGCAACTGTAATTTATACATGTAAAGTCCCTAAAATGGTGGTCTGTTAGTATTATTTACCCAGCACTGGTCTGTTCCTTTATAGGCATGAACTCATATGCTTTTCATGAGGGCCTAATGAAGTAAGGGCTTTGTTATCCTTCTTTTGCAAGTGAGGAAGCACGGTGACAGGGAGGTTAAGAAACCTACACGAGGTCACTTAGCTTGTAGGTGGTAGAGTCCGGATTTGAACCCAGGCAGTCTGACTCCCAAGCGTTCTCTCTGAAGACTGGCACTTATAATGAGAAATGACACAAATGGAACTGAATAGGAAGCAGGACCCTTGTGCCACCACCAGCCAGGTTTTAAATTACTCTGAGTTATTGAAAATCTGGGACCGGTGCTCCCAAAATAGATTTTAGGTTTTGTTCATCGGAATGATAGCACTACATTAAGCACAGATGAGTGCACTTACTGCATTTATGTAGCTTAAGGCTCTGTATGAGAACCTTTAAACAAAAGAGATCACTAGGAACTGAAAAATAAAGAACTGAAAGACTAGGAAGGAAGCAGACACAAAGGAATAATACAAGAGGGGAATTACGAGTCCTCAGAGCCGTGGGGCAGGAGATGGTATTTTGATATAGTCAAGAGGGAAAAAAAATCCCTCTCATTTTTCACATTTCTGTACTGTATTA